TGAATCCGGGAGTTTGAATGAAGGTGGATGCTTTTTGAACTGTACGCTCTGCGCGGCGGTCGACTGGAGCGCCTCCACCATCCATCCATCCATCCTTCCGTCCTTCCTTCCTCCCTCCCTCCTGCGCAGCGTAGCTCGATGCGTACCTACGCTCCTCTCCAGCCATACGTCGTCGTCGTTCGTCGCTGCCTGAAACATGAGAAGAATGTGGATCTGCAAATCCTGGAGCTTGACGCAGCGAGCAGGAGATTCTGCAGAGGATTCCTGCTGCGGATCCTGCTGCTCCTGCAGCAGCAGCAGCAGCAGCAGGAATCCTGTGCGAACGGAGGGATGATTCGGCGAACGAAGTGGGGAGGAAGTGAGGGAGATGGAAATGGATAGAGCGAGGAAATGTGTCGTCGTCGGCTTCTTCTCCTTTAGGTCCTTAAAAAGGGCGGAGATTGAAATGACATCCATCACGCATCGACGGAGCCGTATGTGTATGACCTGCCCACATGTGTTTTCCACATGGTTGTCACATATGTCTCCATGTCTGATCCAAAGCAGAGTGTACGTACCTCGATAGATATGTGGCGACTTGGGGGCACCGAGATTGCGACTGTTTGTGTTTAGTGTGTGTGTATGTGTGTGCGGTGTGCACAGTGGTTGTTCAACGCACCGGGGGAAGATTCTATGATTGACAGAAACATGCACAGGACTTTTCGTTTCCTCCTCGAGCGGGATGTTCCATCCAGCCTTTTGCTCGCATCGAAAGTGTAAATGGTAGTCTCATCCAACCTTTATGAAATGCTGAAAGGAAGAGTAAGCATGTGAAGGCCATCCGGCTCAAAGGAAAAAGCTCATAATATGAAATATCTGACCAACCACAAGACACCAGTATGCCTTTCGGGATCTCATCAATTGTGCCGATCTCCCCATGCATTTTTCTGTAGAATGCCCAGTGCCATCAATATTCAGCATTCTTGAAATGTCTCCCTCTCAGGTACTTTCACTGGGTCTCGAGTCTTCCACGAGGCAAGACTCGAGACACAGTGGAAGACTCAAATAGAAGTCGACTCATATTCAAATTCAAAAAGAATTCAAATCCCACAAGTGTGTAAGAGCACTTACAAATTGCTTCTTTTTAAAGTTGTCAGAATTCAGAAATGTGATCAATTTCTTTTCTTCGATTGCTGAGAGGGGCTGCCCCAAATAAGTTTGATATCCTCTATAATAAGTCGAATGCTTTTCTAGTGAGGTGTAATAAAAATGACAGCTTCCTTCTATACTTGGAAATGGAGCCAGATTAGAAGGCTTACCTTTAAACCAGCTTAGTTAAATTAACGAATTAATTAGTTAAATTGATATAGATTGAGAGCCCAACATCTGACTAGATATAGTGGATTGAATCTTGAACGGTCCGATCTTGAAGTACATAATGTCCACTTACAGAATACTCAATGATCAAAGCTCGAATCTGCTCGGGGCTTAAGGGGCAGGTGTGGGAATTTAATGAAGAGCGAGCGGGCGTTCACAGTGGTAGACGTATGGATGAAAATAACATGATGTTCCATCCCACAGCCAGACAAACATTCCCATTTGATTTTCCAGAATAGATCGAGTTCGGTCGAAGGCTACACTTATCCAAATCAGATCAGTGTCTGTTTCGTTTATTGTACAGAACGATTTCCCTCCACAAGAAAAGGTAGAATGAGGGAAATGGGGGAAGGGAGGATGAACTTATCCAGACGAAGAAAGTACTAAAGAAAAGAATTTGTCGTGGAAGAACAACCTTAGAGACACACAAATGTGTGACTCCTAGTGACGAAACCGAGAGTACGCAAGAGAAAAATAATCGAGGGGGAGGCATCTGCCTGTACATGTTTAGGAGAACAAAACACAAGAGAGAAGGCGCGGTGTGACAGCTTTTAAGTAGATCACTTCCCCGCGATCGAAACTTTAAAGAATTCTCTTCTCAGGCGCTGCTCCGGTGGAGAAAAAGCAGTTCGGACAATGGATGATGGAGTTCCAAACTGTCACAGTTGCTGCTGGAGGTCTTTTGGAACACTATTGTACGTCGGTCCACTTTGGAACAGTGAGAGACGACAATCACAACATGAACATAAGGAAAGCAGCGACGGACGCAAGTGAAAGGTGGTGGAAAATCCGCAGGCCCGACTCGGCCCCCGAGAGTCAAGAATACACCTCCTTTGGCATGGAGCTTGTACGCAAAGCTCAAAAGCAAGAGAACAAAGCATAATCTAATGGAGAATAGCAAACAATGATGTGTAGTTCCGCGAGCTTTGTGCTACAGTCGCCCACTATAGAACCGCAAGAAAGGGCTTTACGTAGTGTACATCCGCAAGAGAACAAAGGAAAGAGAGGAGGCAAGCGAAAATTCTCCAGATCTGACGAACTCCATGGCGAATATAACTCAAATAGTTATTGACTTCCCACAGGTCCCCTCAATACTTTACTGTATTTTGCTTCCTTCCTTTCCCTTCTCGTTGGGTGTATGCTCGGGAGCCGCAATGATCCAATACAGCGCCGCGAGCGAGGGCATATTATTTGTGCCTCCTCGAGCCAACAAGGGCTCACCAAATTTAGCGCTCGGCAAGGCAGGGCGAGGCAACGGACAGATTTCCCGGCCGCCCGATCAACCCTCCGGAGGGAAGGCGAAGGCCAAGAGGGAACGGCGTCTCGGGTCAGAATTAGCGACGGTGAATGGGATCGAGGAGTTGCTAAAATCGAGTGACCGAACGCCATTCGTTCAGCGTCTAGAGACCCGGGAGTGGGGGAAAGGCGGGGCTCAGAGCGGTAGGGGGAGGAGGAGGAGGAAGAGATGGTGGTGGTGATGATGGTGGTGGTGGTGGAGGTGGAGGAGAAGGAGGAGGAGAAGAACGAGAGAGGTTGATGATGATGATGATGAAGATGATGTACGATGACAACGGAACAAGGGAAAGGCAGTAGTAGAGAAGTCGCCAGATCTGACGAAACTGAACGAACCGGCGAACGAAGGAGAGATTTGAGGATGTGTCTCCTTCTGCCGGGGAGAGCTCTGGACTCTGGCAGCAGGCGAAGGAAGGAAGGAAAGGAAGGAGAAGGAGCCAGCAGCTGCAGAAGCCGAAGAAGAAGAGGCCATGCCAGAGCGGGCCGAGCCAACCAAGGCAAGCCGGAGCTTGAGGTGGATTGCCTGCCTAGCTTAGCTGACAATCCTGGGGTACCCCACTGGAAAGAAGGGGCTGCATGTGTGCATGCATCATCCCCTCCGTCATGTGGGGAGTCTGGGGTGTCGAAGGGGGCAAACCATGGCTCCTCGGAAGATATGCATAAAATATTGACAGAAAAGCTGGGGACACACGTTTTTATCACACATATTGCGGTACGACGTTATGGAACTCATACGACTGAATATGATAAGATCTCGTGGAGGTATCCAATTTCTCAAGGATTTGGGCAGCAACACTCCAGATTTCTAATGAAAGAACGAACCACCCCCCGAACCCGCCCTGCGAGCTCGCCCAGGCATGGGAAGAGACTCCATCCACGACCGCCATCGCCACCGGCTCTCATCCCCTTCCCACCCCGCGCGCACGATCGATGGAATTCTCCCTCTCCCGGCCCCGGTGGTCACTTCCTCTCCCACCACCGGTTTTAGCCGGTTTCAGTGCCCTCGATGCGACCTCCGGGCCCGGTCGTACGAGTGGCGTCCGCCAATTTGGATGGAAAAGATAAGATACTGCGTCCCGCCTCGAGGCGGAGGAGCATCCCTGCGGACGAGGAGAGGAATTGAAACGTAAAGGAGCAGCGCCTAACGGAAAGCGGGGTTAAGGGTGGTAACGGGTTAGGAGCACGGTAACAATGATTAGGGAAGAGCGGGGAGATTGAACGGGCAGGAGAGAGAGGGAGAGCGAGAGAGAGGAAGGAAGGAAGGACTGAGGGGAGGGAGAGGATCGGCCGGTTTGTTTACGGTCGTGTCGCAATGATAGGACCTGGTATAGGGAACAGCAGACACAAAGCGTCCTTATTGCGAATTTCGCCTTATTCTTGGCTATCTTGTCCGCTTTCATGCCCCCTGCCCGCGTCCGACCGGGCAGTTACTGGAATCAGTTACGGCTCGTTAGCCGGGGCGGCCGGGGCCTCTGAGGCCCGCGATTCTGCCCTCGGCACGAGTCCGCTCCGCGTCAAAGCGGGTCGAGCACAGACTCGCGGCGGGAGGGCGCTGGAATGGGGACGGAAGGAAACGACTGACCAAATGGGACAACGAAACATGTAGTTCTTTGCCGAGTCCGTAGGTTCTTGTAGCGAGTAAACGGACGGAGAGAACACGGGGGAGAGACATGGACACTGAGCGGAAAGGGAGCGCGGGGGATGGAGTAGAGTAATGATGAAGCGCGCAACTAACGCCGCGCCATTATCAGCGTGCTTAGAAACGCACGCCACGAATAAGACGCCGACGCGTGGAGGACAGGTCTGTTACGCGCGGTGTTCTCTTTACGGCGCGTAGTATTAAAGGCGTGCTAATCATGATTAAGGTAACCCGGTTCCGCTATAATCCCCTCGCAACAATCACTGCACGTGACCCCCCTTCGTTAACCCTTCCGTCCGCTCAGTGCCGCTCTCTCTCCGGCAGCCCTCCCAGAGACTCGAAGAAGCCGTTCTCAACGTCGGCCTTCCGGGCCTTGACCTCAGGTTAACCAGACTCCTAACCCACAAGGCCTTGGACACCGCGCGATCGCAAGAGCTGACCCGCCAACGGGCCCATCATCAAGCAGTCCATCCATCCATCGCGCCTTCACACCGCCTTCCTTCCTTCCTTCCATCCATTCATCCATCCGGCCAGACAGCCAGCCAGCCAGCCCGCCAGCCTAACATGGAACTGGGAAACAACAAGGGCCGGGTCCAGGGCCAGGGCAGGACAAGGGAAGGACGGCAGGGGGCGGGGCAGGGAGCGAGTGTGCGAGCACGAATGAAGGTTTGGGCCCTCATTTCGCCGAAGAAGCTTATTTGCCTGCGACCCTCCCCCCGGATTTCTTCACTACCTTCTCCCACCTTCTTCTTCCAGGAATGCTTGCGGAGTTCTCTCAGAGAGAGAGCGCGAGAGAGACAGAGAGAGAGAGAGAGGGAGCGAGCGAGCGAGCGGTGTGGTGTTTGTGTGTGTCCTCTTCTATACTTCGGTGCGGTGCTCTTCTATCTACCCGTATTCCTAATTCTTGTGTGTATATCAGGGTCGATTGCCCCCTGTGATCTCATTCCCTCCCTTCCAGTTTACCACCTCCTCGATTCCCAGTAGGCAGAGAGTGTAACCCTTCTCCCCTCTCCCCTCTCGCTCATCCCTCATCAGCCTGCTGCTGCTGTTCTGCTTGCTCGCCCTGCCTTGCCTGCGTGCAGGCGCCCCGTCCCCTTCTCTCTCAAACTCTCTCTCTCTCTCCCTCTCTTCCACCTGCCCGTGCCTGTGCGTATATATCAAAGGAAGAAACCTCGATCTGTCCTTCTAGTTTCGGGTCTTGTTTGAGTACCAGCCCTCGTCAGTCCGCTAGCGAGGAGAGAAGACGTAGAAGAGCAGACGAGCACGCGAGAGTTGTTGGAGAGGAAAGGAAGGCGCGCGTGTAGGCTCTCTTTTCAGTCTTGAAACTACTAGTCGGTGTCTTCCACTACTACTAGTCTTGGGGTTTCCTTCCATCTATCTTTCTGACGAGCTTTTCATCAGGCCCGCGCGCTGCGCTGAGGCTTGCGCATCAAATCTCTGTGGTGGTGGTGGTGCTTGGCATCGGTCGGCCTCGGTCTCTACCCTGTACAACGAAGAAATTCTGTGATTTTGTACGCTTTTAGATGAGTCGGTTTCCTTTGTCAGTTGAGTCGTCGTGGTAGTGGAAGAAGTTGAGGAGTGTCGGTGGTCGAGTCTCTCTCACGGTCTCCCCCCCCCTCTCTCTCTCCCTCTCGGTGTACAATTACTCAGCTGTCAAAGGCGGTGTATATTGGTTCGGCGGGTCGTGGCTGTAGGACGGTAGGAAGTACTACAGGGTTATCTATCGAGGTCGAGGAACACCCGAGTTGATGTCCAACTTAGCGTGGAGGTATTCTCGTACAGGTGGATAGGATAGTTTGTTATAAGGTGGTTGAAAAAAGAGCGGAGAGCTATCGAGGGACATACTTCAGGTTGGTTCGATTTCCAGACCTTGGAGAATGGTCGAGTCCCTGAATTGATTAAAGATTGTACTCGAAGAGGAAAAGAGCAGGTCAAGATGCCGGGTGTTTTGTTAGACGAGCAGAACTATCCTCTGGACAGCATGCAACCCTCTTCTTTTTACGAGTCTTTGGCGGCCTTCTCTCCTCCGGTGTCTCACTCTCAGGCCGAACTTATGCGCAACAACTCGTTCTCCGGTTCTCGGGACAGTTCTTCGTCTCTCTCGCACTCAGCACCAATTTTCAGTCGGAGTCACAGCGCAATCTCTTCGTCGGCGCTCCAGGGCTTCAGCAACTACTTTAGCCCTCCCACGACTCCCAAGAAGTCGGACAACGGATTTTCTGGCGCGGCCTCAGATTTGGGCGAAGACATGTCAGCCCTTATGGGAGACAATGGAGATGTTCTGGCCGGTCTTAACGGCGCCTCGGCGAGCTCGCCCTTGAGCATGTCGACTGGCTCTCACCATCGGGAGTATCAAGCGGACCTCAGGACTTTCTTCGGCGGCAATTCTTCAAACCTGAGTTCTCCCACGGTACAGGCCGGGAACGGTTCTTTAGACAAGTACATTTCCTCCAATGGCAACGACGAAGACGATAACTGGGGAAGCACCGTGGTCGATGTCTATGCCTGCGATCAATTCCGCATGTTCGAGTTCAAAGTTCGTCGATGCATGCGTGGTCGAAGTCACGACTGGACTGAGTGCCCATTTGCTCATCCAGGAGAGAAGGCGCGTCGAAGAGACCCTCGCCGGTTCCACTACTCCGGAACCGCCTGTCCTGACTTTCGTAAGGGTAGCTGCCGACGTGGAGACGCCTGCGAGTTCGCCCACGGCGTCTTCGAGTGCTGGTTGCACCCAGCGCGATATCGCACTCAGCCGTGTAAGGACGGAAGAAATTGTCGAAGAAGAGTGTGCTTCTTCGCCCACACTCCCGACCAACTGCGACTGCTGCCTGCGGCTGCCCAGGCGGCCAGTGCTGCGGCCAGGAACGGAGGCAACTTCAGCTTGGCTACCCAACTGCCTCAACTGAGCGGATCGTACGATGGCTCTCCAGTGAGGAATGGGGTCTCTTTCGACGGCGCTTACGGTTACGATGCAAACCCTGCCGGATGCGTCTCGCATTGCCCACCTTCTCCTCACGGGAGCTGCCAGAATGGGTCGCTCCATGGGGGCTGCGGTCATTTTGATGGAGCCATTGGAGGAAATGCCAGTGCGCACAACGGTCATTGCTGTGCTTCGCCTCACATGTCGTCTCCGACATCGACCTTGGTCGGTCATTCCCCTTCTCCTCCCCCGTTGTCCCCTCCCCTTTCACCTTCGGGTTCTCCCCCTATGTCACCCCAGTCTCCTCACCACTGGCCCAACTCCCCGGGCGCTCAAAGCCTTTCCTGTACATCGTCCCAGAGCACTCTCCACGCCCAACAGGCCGCGTGCCTGCAGGCTTCTATCCAGGCTTATCCCTACTCTCAGGGTCCTTCCTCACCTCTCTCCCGTGGCACTAACAGCCAACAGGCGATGTCAGCAGCTGCCGCTGCGGCGGCTCACGCGCACCAAACTCAGTCTCTGACGCCCCCTGCTCATCGTCGACATCTCGATCGCCTGAATTCGATGCCCACTCTGTCCATACCCCAGGTCGATCACTCCCACTCCCGCATGTTGCAAAATGTTTCTTCACCACTGTCGTCGCCTTCGAGCTGTTCTCCCCCGTCTCCGGGCGTGCAACCGAACTCCAGCTCTCTGAGTGATCTGTTGACGACTATCCAGCATCTCAACCTGAGAGGCAGCGCCATACCGCTCTGGGTTCAGCCACAGCAAGGCCAAGGTGGCGCTCAGTCGGCGAACCAGTATTCGAGTGGGCCCTCTCCGTTGAGACGATGCTCTCAAAGCGTACCATGCACGCCCACGAAGCTGAGATGGGAGGACCGAGTGCCTCGATGGGAGGTCGATGACAACGAAGAGGCCGAGCCCCCAGCCCAACGAGTGGAGTCTGGTCTGGCCCTGAGAGCTAAAATTTACGGAAGACTCGGCAAGGAAAACCGCATGGACTCGGAGGATGCCCCAGATCTTGGCTGGGTGAATGAGCTCGTCAAGGACGAGCGGCCGAGTGGGCAGCAGTGGTAAGTGCGACCCCCGCGCGCACGGGGCGAGCATGAGGGAGGCGCGGGATTGTAAAAAGTTTGGGATATGGTTGTCTTTCATTCAGCGGTACCTGTAATATGGAAGTCGCCCGCTATCTGTGGTCTCTCTTTTTTTTTTCAAATTTCTTTTCCTTTTGACGGGCGTGCTGCACCTTCAGTGCTGATGCCTGCGTAGCTCTCTTAAGAGGACGGGGCCCCTTCGGAGCAAACGCTACACCCATCGTTGGAGGGGCTCCGTTCCGCTTATCCATGCTGTGGTGGGGAGAACCGTACATTTGTGGAATTCTTGGATTTCTGTTGGTATGAGGGGAGAGTGCGCTAGCCATGGATAACAACATACAACATCATGTGAGGAGACGGTGGCTGGTGGATCGACACCTGTGGAGAAGTCATGGAGATAGAACACATGGAAGATGTGCTGATGCGCGACTATCAAAATCAGCCGTAAGGAGGAGAACGTTGGGAGGCGTTATCTGAGTTGGCAGCGTTCTGGCGAGAAAGGTATTCACAAGAGTTATGGGGGAACTGCAAGGTATTATTCTTGGACAATGACATCGAGGAGAGCTTTCCTTTCTCAACCTCTTGAAGGGTGAGAGTGCGTAAGTGTTAGGGGGGTGGCCTGCTCCCAGCAGAAACGGAAGTTGCTGCCAATTGGCGGATGCGAGCGATTCTTTATTAATCAAGACAATCATTTTTACTGGAGTTGTAGGGAAATTTATTTGTGAATGAATTCATACGGAGGCCAGTGCCGCCTTTCTGCACACCTCTTCACAAACACATCAGGGCAGGCAGGCATGGAAGGTGGTTGCGCTGGTCAGATGATGCTGCGGTGGAGAAGACGACGATCTGAACTGTGCGATTGTGTTGGTGTGAAGAAATGTGGACCGTCCAGGCTTGTAAAGGAGTGCCGAGGATTAGCGGTAATCAATCGAACAATGAGTAGGGGTAGGCACTGATTGTAGGTCACTGTCGAAATGGACAGCATTGTTTGAGCTTTAGAGACGACATAAAAGTAGAGCCGCAGTAGAGCTGGTGACTTCCAAGGTGACCTCTGCGGTGTATATTGATATGTAGCCATTTTATTATTGTGCCTCTCATGTCAGTTGGCTGCCCCTTCAGAGCCCATATGCGTGGGGTTGCCCACCGATGTAGCTTTGTTTACTAGGATCATAGATTAAAGTATGAAATAGGGCAAGGCCGTATCCCTTCAAATTTCATACCACAACCTGTTCATAGACAGACACTGTCCGCGACTTCAGATTCATTTTGTTACACACATTTGTACATTCATATCCAATGACATGATTGCATATAGACAACCTTGTCTGTAATACATCTTGTTTTGACATTTCAATCTTGTCGTCCCGTCTTGAGTCCTTCTCCATCTCTTTGAATGATTACTTTCTTGTTTACACTATTAGGTGCTTGGTTGCTTGATCGGAAAAGTTTTTACCGGCGTTGATTGAGAAAGATGTTTTTCGTTGATTTGCTGACTTCTCTACTTCCATTCTTGATCAACGTGAGGTTTGTATTGACGGCTTTAGTGGAAATGACTGATTGCAACAGGTGTATGTACATGCCAGCGTAGCTGTTATTGTGATCATGTATTGTCGATGTATGTAATTGCTTATATTGGTTATCTTGGAATGTGTATTTATTCACGGGATTAGAGCAGTTGTCATCGTAGAAGGCAGTTTGATGTTGGAAACTGCCGATCTTGATGTTCATCTTGAAACTACGAACAATTGTTCTATGCACATAGCGATGTTTGGTTTTTGAGTCTGCATACAGAGATTCGTTGAGCAGAAAAATCTAGTGTTTCACGTTATAGATTACACTCGAGCACACGTTCTGTTGTTAGGGAGGAAAAGAGGTTCTTCAAATCCAAAATCCCTTGGCCGTGTGAGAATTTTGTCCTGTCATGCGGAGCGAAGCGAAGCGACTGGCTCCCGAAGTGTTGCATCGAAAGCGATCGCGATGAGACGAGCGTGTCAACTGTTGTACGACTGTTGGGCGACTTTTAGACTGTTGGCAAACTCGGGCCGCATCGGAGGGGGCTCGTCTGGCCGAATAAGTTGGACAGTCCGAAGCCACTGCAAGCGAGACACCGGCGTCGCTTCTGCATGCTTCGCAGGAGATCTATCGAAACCTACAGACGAGCTCAACAGTTCGCGCACCTCGTCAGCCGCTCGTGTCGTATGTCCAAATTTCGCCCAGAAGCTACGAGAGAGGCATCGCTTTTCTGGCCCCGAGTTCGTGCCCCCATCCATCCACCTTTCGTCCTACTCCCTCCTCTCCCCCGGAATCCCTCCCGCATTTCCGGGGTTTGACCGCGCGCCCGCTGAGCATGGAGCGTTACCCCTCCCCACCCGGCCTTGACGAGTGCGAAGACTCGTCGGGACGGGGCGGCCATGACCCGCGAACCCCTGTCGGATATGCGGGAGGTGTCGCACCATCGTGGAAGTTGGCAGGCAGCCCTCGCCCCGCGCGGACAAATCAAATCCCCGCGATGAGTCACAACAACTTTCTAGATACTGCAAACAAAACAAGAAGGAAAAATCTCCGCCCTGCGCCACCCGATGACTGGCTGGCTGACGAACGGACTCGGCCCTCGCTCTCCGACTCCTTCCCGTGCCCCTCTCGCCCCGTCGTGACGCAGCTCCATATCCTGACACTGCCCGCCCGACTGCCCCATGGACGCTTCCACGACGATCGCGAACCCCCGTTTTGACTCTCCCCTACCGCGTAACTAAATATCTCGCATCCCCGCCGTCGCCATGTGTCCGGCAGCCGCAGTCTCGCCGCGGCCAAGTGTAGCACCTGCTAGGTGGCCGCCAGCGCTGGCAACAATTGGAGCTGCCCTCCCTTTTCTTGCATGCCGTCGTCGTTAGTTTTTTTTTTTATCCGGACCTCGTCGTCTCTTGCTCCTCGGGCCTCGCCTTTTGTCCACACTCCGTGCGCTCGCTCGCTCTTCTTTTAACGCCATCGAGTGCTCCCGCGTCATTAACTCCGACTCGCCAACTTTGCAGTCGTCGTCTCTTTTCGAGGATGGGCTCACATTCTCCCCCTCCACTCCCCTCCACTCCCCTTCATTATGTCCTCGCGCCCTCGAGCCCCCGTCTTCCGCTTCCCGTTCATGTACATCGCTTACGGCTTATTTGCGAGCGCATCATCCCTCGCTGATTTGATCGCTCTACGCGTGTTCGGATTAGATTCTTTATTCTTTATTTTATTTTCCAACTCGCTTATCGTTCAACTACTTATATCCCTTATCTAATCTCCGCATTCTTGCTAAATTTATTCATTGAGCGTGAACCATTCTTGGAATGTTTGTTCAGTCTTGCACAACGCTTCTGCTTCCTCTTAGGGGGAAGCCCAGGTTTTCTGAATGGCTTGAGATGTGCTAGTTGGGAACCAACTTCCGATCGTGGCCGTCGTTCCTTTTGATTCCATGCGCCGGCCACCTTGCTTTGACGCTCTGTGACTGACGAGGATAAATGGAGACCAAAAACTAAGTAATGAAGAATTAAATCGAAAACACGAATAGGATATACAATATCTTAGACTTACGTTACGCAGTTCTTGCTATTTTCGTCACCGAGTATTGGCTGAAGACATTGATCGAAAAAAGGTGTACGTTTGAATTCTATGGGATAATCTGAAATTTGAGTTATTCTGTTTAAGTTTCGGGTTTTGACGCGTTTGATAACTTGACTTACCGTTATGTAATTTTAAAGTTGTACAGTTTAGATTCGTTTGAATATGCAACTCCCAATTTCCAGAGATATTTCCCGCTGGTTTTCTCTGCATTTGGAAAGAAAGCGGGAACAATCTGCAGCGTAGTCGGTTCCTAGTTGCAACGTTACTAGTTGCGAAGGTTTTTATTGTTCACGGAACAAGGAACCTCCTCAACTAGGAGCGTTACAACTAAATGGGATAAATATTGAATGTATGTGACAAGGATTAAACAACATATTATATATTTTATTTATTCTGTAACACAACAAATACAAAAATAAAGATTAGAGTAAAAATTCATTACATGCAAGAACAACTTCTTGCATCAACTTGAATATAAAATTTGTACAATTGAATCTACAAGACATACTTCAAACATTAATGATATAAGAAGGGAAAACATAGACAATTCATTCAATAACTAACATTTAACAAAAAAAATCCATCCATGCAACAACACCTCATTCTATTGATTTGTGTAAGGAATTATAACAATTGCATTGTAAAGACAAGAGAATTCCACAACAGCCGAGTATCAAACAGAAAATGTTCATTTCTGTAATGTATTACACAAGCATGTCAAACAAATATCCATACATGCAAGATTAACCATTTCTATCAACTTGCTTGACAAGTGCAGCAACCAAACACAACACTCTATACAGTAACATCTCATTCCACCAACTTGGCTGATGAACTTGTACAAATGTAACAATCAACAAGTTATGTACCTCCACCAACTTGACTAATGAACAAGTAAGTAAGTGAACAAGTTAAATGTTACATCAAGTAGGTTAACTTGATGTAGTGTACTCACTACTCCATGGTGCTACAACTTTTTTCCAAAATTGTACGTCTCCAACTTGGCTAATATGTTACAATGTGATGCAAATTTCAAGTCTTAAATCATACATCTATCGATTTACTCCACCAGCTCAAATCACCGGGTGGACTGGACTGGACTGTGTGTGATAGTAAATCAAATTTAGCATCCTGCATACCCCTTCCTTGATGTAAGAGTTTGCAGTAAATTTAACGTATGTCTTAGTGTAGAGACTATTTTTTCTAAATAAAAGCAATTATCTTTAGTTTAGAGAGCCCAAATCTTGCCCAAATATTCCAATGAGTTTTGGGAGTTGAGTATGTTTCGAGTAATCATTCCGTAGCTCATGAATTTATGACCTCACAAGTTCATGACATATAGGTATGCTTTCATTCTAACTAAAGAAGACAAATATAAATAAATGTCTAGAAAAGAACGTGGAGTAAATAAGAGTAACGCTTACTCTATCTATATTGTAGCCTCATTAAAGTTAAATAATTTACTAGTTAAAGTCTCTTCATTTTCAGCATGTCATTCTTGGATTGTTTCTTAACGGCTGGTTAGCTGTTCACTAACTATCAGCAGTTTTATTGGCCGTACAAGTTGGTTATCTATATTTAGATTACAAACTTATCATCTTTCCTTCTTGTGCACTGTATCAAGACCATTTGCATTCCGCATGTTTCTTTATTCTATTTCATTCTTGAAAATACCATATACAAAACTAAATGGTTGATATCTTGAGTTTGGTTTACGCCCTCTGCTTCGACAATGATAGTCTTGCTTTATATACCAAATCACACAATTGAAAGTTGGAAGAAAACCAGAAACAGTAGCGCTGAACACTTCTTGTAAACATGCAACATTAGAACCAATATTCAAATTGTATCTTATAAAGTATTTTTCTGTAAGTATCTGATCGTACGTACTTTGAGCCATCTTCATGTATTGGTCAGTTTTGACCTCTTTGATTCAAACACCGTTTGTAGTTTTTTCCCACGGGTGTACTCTGTATAAATTAGTTATATACCCCTTCATTATAGCAGATGAAAGTTGTTTTCATTCACTAGGACTAAAGACTTAAAATTTTAATGAAAAACGTTCAATGAAACATGAATTGAAAAAGTAAGTGCTCTGATGGGTAAAAATCTGCATATTGCACATATTGCTAACTTACTAGGAAATTAGAGTTTGCAAGTTTATTAAAAAAACCATAAATGTAACATTTTCTCACTATGATGTCCAAGATGCCACATAATTAAGTGCTCTTACAGCTTTTAATATTTTTTCCTATGAGATATTTCAGCTGTTCCGATACTTTCTAATTTAAAGAATATATTCTCCTTCTTATCTACGCAGTCATAATATGATGCCACCGAAAATAAATGTCAACTATATAAAGAAGTACTACACTCCATGATTCTTAATTATGAAACTATCTCAAGTTTTTTACACTTTACGTTTTGAACATCATTGTATAGTTCTTGTTTAGATTCTTCTAGATATTGAAACAAAATACTTTGATATGAGCAAATGTAAATTAGGTATGTAGATACATAGTTCCAGTTTGGAAGAAAATGTCTCCTTTCCTTAAAAAACCATAAAAATTTATAAAAATGATAAATTTCATGTTTTCAAGAAATTTCTTGTCATGTATTCTTCGTTGTAAATGGATTTATGTGGCATTAACTATTCTTCATTTTAAATATTTTTTTTAGTTTTGAAAGCAATATTCAAATTTTGCGTCTAGGTTGATGTATGTCTGATTATTTTTTATTTAAGCTATTTTAACGATAAATGTAAGGAAATGTTTATTATGAATATTTTTCATAAATATTCAGAAAAAATTGTACACAAATCTTCCATATACCATTTTCAATGTGAATAAAAAGATTGACAAGAATTATCCAAGTTAAGTATTAGTTTTTGATATTTTTCACTTTTCTTCCCATCTTCATGTGAGTATCATTTTTAGTGTATAAAATAAGCTTCACAAAACACATTGTGATATACATAAATTGATCAATCACATACAAAAAGCCTACGGGTTTTTTTGACTATGCCTCAGGCTTTTGAAAAAGGACTTACACCTGATTTCTGAAGGTCTTTGATTGGCTTGTTGATGCGTCAAAGGCTGCTTATTGATAAAACATAAGATATTTATACAAGACGGCTGAAGTACTTTCCTATAAGCTTGTTCACAATCAAGAAAGTACTTGCTAAATACGAAATTTTCAGAAATATAAAATCTAATTTGATCATTTTTAGGGAGATAAAATATATGTTTACTCAAACTCATAAATAATTTGTATGAGGACTTCCAATTTCTGAAACATACCAACTTCTGTGAGTTGACTAAGCCGGGAAATAAATGAGCATTTAATTTCCATTTTAGAAAAAATTCCTTCCCTAGTTGATCAGCAAGGAAGGGGGGAAATTTTAAAAATCAAAATAAAAAGACCACGTTCTGACAGACACATGACCTATATGCATATGAAACTAATCCATAGAGGATTACTTCACTCATCTAAGAGAATAAATGCAGATTCTTGGTTCAATTTTCCTCTCTAGAATATTATCAGCAAGTTATACAACATCCTCCTGAACTGTACTTGTTCACCTTCTTGATGGTTTTCACAGGATAGAGAAATGGGTTCTGCACCTCCGACAAAATAAAAAGAAGACAAGAGGCAAGTCACCAGATTAGAAAATGTTGACACTGAAATAGTCAAATTGTGGAGTATTCTTAGATGATTGTGATGGAAGTGAGAACCAGTCAAAGTCTAACATATAAAGAGAGATAAATTGACATAAATCCAGTGAACTTTATGTGGAAAAGGTATGAAGAAAAACATGCTCATCGAACGAAGCAAATTTTATTTTTAGATTCCCTCTTGAACATTGGCAATATACGAATACGATATTGTATATATACGAATTTAAGTATTCGACAGATTCGCACTCTTACCAACCTAACGGTGTTCTTCTCTTGCTGTTCATCATTGACCCCTTAAATGTGTTCTAGGAGAAGACAAGATAATATGTGTATACTTACAAACATGTAGACGACTTGACAGCTTCGATCACTGATTCTTATTTACTGCACCAGTCACAGCTAGATCTATGTGGACTTCCTAAAAAAAGAAACGTGTTCAATGCATGAGACTGTAATACACCAGGTTTTCCATAAAAAAAAGAAAAGTGTATACTCTATCGACTTATGTTCTGCCGAATTCAATTCTGTATCAGCAAGAAAAATGTGCTGATAGGCCCCACTTTTTGAATACCGCGACCCCATTTCATTCAATGGGGCTTTACAAAGGATCTGGCTTTTGTAAGAATGTGTATTTAACACCAGACTTTAATAACACCGATGTCTAAAATACTCTTTATTTCTTTTCCAATCCCATGTTGAGAAAGACAGGGATCAGATGTAGCTTGGTGGCATGGAATTATATACATATGGACTTGCTTAAGTAAATCCAAGTCCAGAAGATGTAAGTAAAATCTGGACTGTGATATAATGAAAGAAAGTGATCGATGTATGCTAGTAACTTAAAGCACACCCACCCACTAAACGACTCTGGAGTTCATTTTTCACTGTTATAACTCATTTCAAGATGTAGGAATATCAGGAGTAAAAGGTAAAATCTATACACTTATTATTTTGGGATATCATACTTATTATTTTGGGATATCGCCACCTTACTTTGTAAGAATAGAGGCTTCTTAAGAATATATGGTTACCATATTATACGTTGCGATATCTCTAGGCAATCATTTTCGCAAACCCCCTTGATATTGGAAATCCGTAGCAACCTCAAGCTCCCAAGCTGAAATTTGCAGATCCAAAATTGCTCTACTTGGCAGTCACCTAACACTTTCTCTGTGTCTTAACAATTCATAAAATCATAAAATATCACTCTCACCCACTTCGCTTATATGAAGCGTTCCATGCCATGAGACAAGAGTCAAGAAGAATTTGTAGCTAATTTCCACCGGTTGGATAGAATCGAGCCACACCTCCTCCGAGCGATGCCCTAGGCCTTTATCCCCACCTCTATCGTCGAACCTCGTCCCAGAAATTCAACTCTTTGTCTGCAATACTCTTGTGCTTCTCCGCCAGTGCAAACCGTATATCGGTTTAATATAATTTTTCCTTTTCGGCTGAAATTTATTCCTCCAAAGACCTGACCACGTCTTTACACCACAAATCGCCGATATTCGTAAAATCGTACATCCTTTGCCTAGAAATGACAACCCCTGATGCGATCGCCCAACCTATATAAAACTGGCTCCCAAAAAAATTCTGATTTGCTGGAAAAAGAAAATTTAAAAAAAGAGAATCTCAAAAAGCAAATTCAAGTCCAGCACGTTCGGAATCTAGGCAATCAAATCAGATCCCGAGTCTGGCAAGGTCGCATGTCCGGTGTTGGCTCACGAGCGCTTTAGCGATGAATAATCTTTTCTCGCATCAGCGAGTAAGAGCGACGGACATGGAATCTGGGGAAACGGAGAGGGACAAAGGATCCGTCTGTCCGTCTGTCCGTCCGTCCGTCCGGCGAGTCAGGCAGCGGGAGGAGCGTCGGACACCGTCCACGCCAGTTTCAATTTGCAGCGTCGCGCCAGACGTTGGAGAGACGGCCGGCCGGCTGGAAAAGCAGCGGGAGCGGGAGCGGGTCGGGCGGGCGGGCGAGGCGAGCGAGCATGACGCGAGTCGGGACACGATCGACGATTCGGGATCGGGATTGGAGAAGAATTGGAAATGGCGTTCGTGAGAAGTCAAATGGGTCGGGGCTTGAGGGCTGGCCGAGCTTTGATCGATGTTTGTTGGTTCAAACGAGACAGCAGCGATGCCGGAGCAATGAGCAACGAGGTGCGTCTCGCATGATGTGCTTTTCCTATTCTTGTTCGCCCATGAAAAGCCAGAGCCGGAGCTGCAGACCCAAGAGGTGGGGAGGGGATGGGAGGGAAGGGAAGCCGAGGTCGAAGATGCATCGGGATAAGATATGTCTTCGAGTCAAAAAGGCTTATCTGAGGATAATGATAAAAATCAGCGGAAGGTTCTTGAACGCGGATGCCCATAGACATTGACGACCCCAACTTCCCTAGGAACCAACAATTTGATTCCCCTTATTCCTTGACGACTCTACTTACATCGTTGTATTTTGTTTTTGTTTGTGCCTGGCCTACCAAAGTTAAACATCCCTAATTCGCTCCACGCCTTGTCCCGCTCGCTCTATAGTAGTAAAAAAGAGTTGTTCTCCGTCTCTTGTTCGCCCAATTCGAAAGACGAATCATTCGATCCTCATGTTGGGGTCACACGCGTAGGTGGTCATAATAACGCCTAGGATGTGTAGAGGGGGATAGCATAAACGTCTCGCATGTGATATGGCTTGAAGCCATTGCCATGTCTCGTCATCGTGAGTCTCGATACAATGCACAAAAGCACCTTTCATTCGGATAGATCAGTCTTTTGCAGTGTTTGGGAGGAGAGAGAACCCGAATATGTTTGTGCAGACCGATAGAGTTCATTCATTCCCGTTATTCCTATTGCGTTTCTTTTTTGGATGCATCTTGCAATAGGATCGAAGCCCAGCCCAACCAAACTCAACCGTCCTGGATTCTGAGACCGTAGATATAATGATCTAAACTGCAAAGTTTATATCTACCCATGCAGTTTACTCTTTATGGTCTGTTTGTCCGTTGTGTATAGCTTCCTTGTTCGTATTGGCAGATATTGAGTGTGCCTTAGGTCTACCCGAGGTGGAGGACGAGGACGAGGCACAAAAGTTGCAGATCGATCCATTCACCCTAAGGTTCACATGTTTCTCGTTTCGACGCAGCAGACTAGCCTAGACTAGCGTACCCATGCTCCAAAAGCTTTTTGGAGCATCAGGTGGAATCTAGACGTGTGTACCCTCACGTAATAGAAGTCGGTTAAGACGATGCTTTTCCTCGAATTCCAATTCCACAGAGAATTCAGATGTGTTACAACACCTGACGAATCAAGGGATGAAAATTCTCCTCCTCCTGTTGTTTTTGGTGCCGCTGCTCGGCTAGTAGTCAGACGGGCTGGACTGGAGTGAACCGAACTCTCGCAAGCATTTTCGTGGCACACTCGTAGGTGGGCTTGGCTTGACTCTTGCGATGATGTTGCTGATGTCTGTTGCATCTTCTTGGGTCGGGGTCTTGATAAGCGTTATCGTGGCCAAAAGAAAGTCTTTGTTTGGAGAAGACTGTAGGCTCGGTGTAGACTACGAAAACACTGTTCTGTAGGTCATGTGTAGGTCGTATCTGCGGTAATCCTGCCCTTGACACCCAGAATCATTGCGAGCGCGGGCAGGATCACTAGTTGAAGCCTGGCATAGGTTGGACTTCCTCGCCTCTGCCCCTGCTCGCGAGGGAATACGTCTTGAGTGCTCTTGCCCGTTTGTTGAGTCAGATTATGTGAGTTTCAACCCAGTCGGTGCCAGGACGCGCTTGGTTGTGATCGTGTTGCTGCGTCTCGACCTCTATTGGATGAGAAGCAGTTCAAGGAGCAGGGTGGGCTTCTGTCAAGAAAAATCTATTTTAACCGACTTTTAAGGCTTCTCCATCATCTCATAATCATGATGCCATGTTGACTCTGAACATGCTTGCAGCTCTGCCCTTGCTTCACATCCTCTCCTGTCCATATCCGCGTTGATCCTCCCTGCTTAGAAGAAAAACGCCGAAACACTTATCGGAACACATTTTGGCAGCTTGTTCAACAGCAGCATGGCACTGTGTGCAGGTCCAGTGTCTAACCCCCACCCCTCTAAGATGAATGTACTTGAAAGGTGAACGAAGGAAGCCAACCATGAAGGGGATGTCTGAATAGTGTCCACTGTTTAGGATACATCACTCATAATTGGAGTTCTGATCAGCTTCGGATCTCCTCGGTTGTTCATCATCATACATGTCGTGGAAAGATCCTCTACGATACGTGAAGCTTGGAAACCAGAGGTCGAATTGTCTCCTCAGATCTTGCTCCCCGTTTTATTCCGCATTCGTAACGCATCAAGATTCATGTGATTAAAATCTGTAGAAAACATATGGTCTGCTGCATCTCAAGGAGCACCAACCAAGTACTTCCACAAATGAAAACCGTACATTCTCCAACATTTGCGTTTGACTAACAATCAGTGCCAGTGCAGTAGAGGAAGACTTGTATCTGGAATCTTGGAACAAGCACTGGTCATTGGAAGTCAAAAACCTACAACGAGCATCAGGTATACCTCCGGCAAGATCGATACTCGAATGTCACACAATCTCGTAATAAAAATAGTCGCTTTAATCTTTAAGCTAGCTGTCGAGCCGCGAGAGCTACTACTAGTAATTATAGGTACATCAGCTTGCTGGAGGTGTGCTGGGGTCAAGGGGAGCGTGCTTGCTTGCTCGATGTTAATGCTAGAACTGTAGAGAAAACTAGTCTAGCTATATTTGACTTCCATTCGGATAGTGCTCAAATAGGACTCAGATCTCAGCAGGAATATGAGTGTGAAGGAGATCTGAACCTGGAAGCTAGTGGCATTACAGTGTTCTCAAGCACTGGAGTTGATACTTGGTGGATAATTTAATCATTTGGCTGAAGAATCCGGAGAAGATCCGGAGAACCATCTTGTGGACAGGCAGATGATGTGAACGTATCTTCTGTAACATACGACTTCAAATTATGTCTCCAGCTAACGTAGTACAGTCTTCAATCTTTCCTACGAAGGCATGATGATGCACATGGCTCTTCTTGATGTTGTAGAGAATTGTATCCATTTTGCAGGTTGCAGTCTACTTCCAGATTACAGCTCCCTTCCATTCAAGACTGGACTTCTCCTGATGGTCTACAGTTCAAGATCGTCAGAGGCTGTAGTTGCACAGTGGAAAAGACAAATAAGAGGTGGACTCTTGAGCACAAGTTTTGGTTATGCCCGACCTTATGTTGTGACTTATTTTCGATGTGGTCTAAACCTCGTCTGTTCCTCCGAGTATATGACCTCTTGATGGACTGTGTGATCTGGATTTTTTAAGAGGGAGACCGTTGAGATACACTCCAGTATGGGAAGCTAGAACCGTGACCGCACACCTAGCGGAACATGGACACTAGTTTCTGTTGCACAGTAGTAGTATTGTCTAACAGAAACCCGAGAGAGGCATGCAAATTTACCATCCTACGAAATTGATCATCGATGAGAAAGACAGACTGGGCAGAACAAGTTCTACTTCAGAGTCTCTGCCGTTGAGAGAGAATGTAATCCGCCTAGGTGCAAGAAACTTGAAGGCACTTGGGAACAGAAGAAGGCGCAAAAATTCTTTACAATGGATGTTTCAAGCTTGCCGTTGGAGCTGGCTTCCGGAACGAAGCACACGCAACCTCTAACAACAGAGTACATCGGCTCCACATACAGCACCGTTTAAAGAAGTGAAAGGAGTTTATAACGACAGTTAGAACGACAAATTTGGCAGTAACCGTTCAAGATTTCAACGTTTAAAGTTTCCCCCACTCAATTCACTCAGACGGGATTTCAAAGAAGGGACTTCAGGTTCGCTGTTGAACGAAATGTGGCGTAGTTGCCGTTTTGATAGTCAATTACTTTAGTACCATGCTGTGAAAGATAGACGCACTAAGATGTTCCTAATATTCTCGTGCACCAGTTTTGTTCGTTAAGATTCTCCAAGAGCAAGGACGAGGAAGTGTAGGCAGCTGCAGAGAGGGATCCCAGCGCTTGCCATCCACATAACAAGAAAGTTGTCAAGGAGCTTGAGGACGAATGACGACGGGATATGGATGGCATCGGGAAGCTGGGGAGTGTGAGAAGGTCAGAGAGACTGCGAAGGAGAGGTCAAGATACGCTGACGGTGAAGACAAGCATCTTCAGCGCCGGGAAAGCGAAGCCCGAGGCCACGAGCGAGCAGAAGAAAACGAACATAAAGGCTACGGAGCTCTAGGTGTAGCTGCGCGTGGGCGCGATGGAGACCAAAGGAGCGACGTCAACACTAAGAAGATTTGCCGTTTCACTGGTTGGAACTCTTCTGTTCAAAGTAGCCACATCGTGACACGAAATACATTACTGTACTACTGTACATGTCCTGTCAGCACGAGAAAGGATCCCAGACCGAGGTCATCGATATCGATATGAAACGAGAATCGGGCAACCGATAACCACACGAGGATTTTTCACAATTTTACTCAATTCTTTCGATGAAAATCCAGCACAGGCTTTACACGACCATTTAGTAAAGACGCAGATGTGAGCGAGTTATGTCACAAGGATAACAAGCAAATTCTTAGGGTTATTAAAGAAAAGGTTGGTTTATTGGCAGATAAAACATGCAGAAATGGGAACGCACGAATCGACCAGACCAGAGTAACATGCATAAAACATGAAGCATGTTCAGTTGCAATAAACGTCTTGTGATATTAAATGTTGCTAATATGCCCATGAGGAGTGTGGAAAAAGACGGTGCCATTATTGATTGATTAATGCTCACTTCTTAATTAAGTGATGCAGCAAATGAGGGCGGTAACACAAGTGGGATGATAAAGTCGTCAAAGCTCAGATGACTTCATCCGCCCTCCAACAAGATGTAATGGTAGACGAACGATTAAAACTGTACAGTCATTCTAACTTAAGACCATCGCTACGTACAGGTATAGTACAGAGGTTGAATGACAGCGGTGTGATGCTCTCCACACACTCGTTCTGAGACGTAATGGATAGAGAAACCTTCTTTTGTACATAACACACGAAGTGAGACAAGGACGAACATTGACTTATCTCCACTCCATTCGTCCGTATCGTCAAGGTTCGACCCGATGAGTGAGGTTGATTACTTCAGGCTTCTCTAGAGCAGACAAGCGACGCTCCGTACAGCTCCAAGAGTGTACAGTGTAAGAGCAACGATACAGAGAATCCCAGACAACGAATTTCGAAAGATCTTCAGCACTTTTTGTTGCCGTGAGCGGAAAAGCAGAAACCTCCATCTTTGGGAACCGCCCAAGAACACTTTTTCTCTATGTCCAAAGAGTTCACACCTCGTACGACTCTGAACCATCCTTTTTCTCCCCAGTAGGTTCCCTGTACAAGAAACCGATCTGAATTCAGCAAAACATCGACTGGCGAAGACATTCATCGCATCATGAAAATGCAGAGACTCCTATTTATTTCCAGAGGTCAGAGATCAGTAGATCCAATAATTCTAGTCTGACAAAGGGTACTGAACCCATATGTGGTTTCAATTACAATGAAGTATAAATCACAGGCTTTGCACACGAAAGGTAAAAGAGCAAAAGTTAAATTTAACCTCCGGATGCAAAAGGAGATGGGATTAGAAAAGTTCTCACCCAAGAGTTTCGAACTATCCAATACTTGACACCATTTTCCACACCCCAGCCGCTGACGCTTACGACATGATCAGTGTCTGTTGATTCTCTGCGGGAGTTAACAACGTTTGGGCTTAGTGCAAGTTCACAGTTACTCTACAGTCCTCTCAGTACTGAAAACATCAATTTGTGCAAGCATGTCTTTCCTGCCTTCTTTGTTCAACTATCCATACAGTGGCTCGTGGGGAATGGACCAACAGTCAGTGGCTGGCATGGACCTTGCTCCCAAACTCTACTGGATGAAAAGAGAAGAGGAACTGGTCAAGTATACCCTGTGGAGATTCTGAGTGAGAAGGTACAGACCACGTCAGCCAGGTGTCTTGAGTACTCGGTAAGGAAAAAAGGATCTAACAAGCAGAGCCCAACAATGGGTGCCCATTCCCATGCCCAAACCAACCCATGCCCATGGGTTTTGGGTGGCCATAAGTTCGACATTATTGTTCATGGGTGGGCAATGGTGGCTATTGTTTCCAGGTGGGTATGGATAGGCATAGCTTCCAAATGGGTACGGAACCCATGCCTTTCAATACGGCTTGAGACCTGGACCTAACCTGTTTGTCATGTCAATACAATGTATTAACATGACACGCGTCACTGGCGATGAACTCACGGAGTGCAAGTAGAGTACGCATTGCGCAAATTAAATCATTCCATGCTTGCACCAGAGAATACTTGTGAATCTTCCAGACAACTGTTCTTGAGATTTTACCTGCAACTGCGTTATTGAGATGAAGACATCTCGATCTAGTTCACTAAATGCGCAAGGGATCGATAAGGAACTAAAGAAGACATTGCCGAATGATGTCGATCGGGCGCAATTTGAATAGCATGGATGGGCATGTGTGGGCACAGGTAGTGCTATGGGTGGGCATAGGTCGCTGCTGATGGTTATGGCCTGGGTAGGGGTACAAATTTGAAGTAAAATGTTGGCCTCTGCTTACAAGGTAGTGCTTCAAACACGCCCACTAGCAGTCCGCCATGAACTGCAAAAGAGAACTCTACTCCAACAAATATTTGATTTCCACATTTTCATAGCGATAAGCGCTAAAATTGAAACGTCATTGATTGTCATGAATAGAGAAAGATTTCACTTACGGTTCAATCACAATGCCTCCTCTGTACGAGTGAAGGACACTTGCGTTTAGGCTGCAGGCAATGGGTCCTCTCTCGTATATCTCCGCCATCTGAGGAAAAAATCAGAGTTAGAAGTCATGCACAAGGAAGATAAATGACTTCTTTATACGGTGCTGACATACTCCTCGCCATCTTATTCATCAGTAAAGGAGCTCGCTCGGAGCGATACCAGAGTCCTCAGCCGGCTAGGTGAATACCTACGCATTTCATGTCTACGAATTACAAAGACTTCCTAGTCGTGACTTTATATAATCGTAACAAAGCAAGTCTAAAAGGAGTATGAGGACTAAACTACGCGTATTGCCCTAGAAGCCTTCACGTCTTGAACAACATCCATTAAAAAAAAGAGCAAACAAAAGAATGGTCGTAGCCATTCACCTACTCATCAGAAGAGTTCTGGACTTAAACAAATCTCTCAACCGGCGTGTTAAATTTGGGGTTTGAACGGAAGAAACTAATAGTCAAGTTTGACAAGTCTTTCATGGGCAGATTCAAATGTACCGACTACTGAAAATTAGTCCAACATGGGTAATCCAGCACTCTACCTTAATTCCACTCCTGCCAGGATGTAGACACAACACTCAATCTACCTAAATCTGCAAGAGATCGACTGGTATAGAAGAGTTTCGAATCCCCTTCAAGGTTTTCAAAACGCCCTTATACAAGTCGATCTCAAACAAAAGTCATATCTCAAACTAGAGAGAAGCCGAGACCCACGAGTCGGATAGGTCTCAGCTTGATAACCGGACTTGACGCACGACTTGAGACCAGTGTATGAAAGAATTCGTCCAGGTTTTGGACAGAATGCTCGTAATGATGGCAAGTTATTCAATCTGTCCTTTACTGTTACCTAGATCGAGATAAGAAATCGGACTAATGTCAAGCTTGATTATCAACCCGTAGAATCCCATTCTTACAAAAGGCGGGCTATGGCAGAAACATGGGAAATACGTTAAGACTAGGACTGAGCAGAAACTAGTAAACTTTTTCCAGTACAAGATTTGAGAAGTTCGATCACAGGCTTCTATCCACCACGAAGCACCCCCAAAACAAAAACAAAAAACAAAAAAACATCCTTCTAAAAACATGTGCACGTATCTTACCATGTTGAGCTCTCCTTCAACATGCCCATACTCCGAGACCCAATGTTTGGTGTAGCCAAGAACAGGTTTACAGTAGTCTGCGTTTCCAACAGGTGGCGTGCAATCACGGCAAATGTTGAGTAGAGTACACTCCTCGTCCACTGCTTTGTACAACTGCTCAGAAATGTTCAGCACCGGAGAGGACATAAGAAACTTAAGTTTCCAAACTTGAAAACCACAGGAACTAGTGAAGAACTTGAAAGCGAGTGTTACAGTGCCCAGAGTCTGTAAAGCAGCACTTCATTATGATCAAAGTAATGTGGATTCGAAGTCTACCATTCACTATTGAGACTAAAACGTCTTGACGACACACCATTAATGATGATAATTATGAACCATAAGACATACATATATAGTCAGAGACTTGTCATCAAATTAGCGGTATACAGCACTAAAACATTCTAGAGCGTGAAGTTACTTAATCTGCTGTTCATGCTTATTCCCGAAATTACCTGGCATGTTTCCTCGGGGATTCCGTTCTCGTGAATGTACTTAAAGGTTTCGAGATGGTTGCCACCATGACATGTTCCGGCATTTGGTGCGCAGTTCAATACACTGATACACAAAAAAAACCGATGCATATGATAGGATTATCAGAAATACTATAAATCGCTGTCAACTTCTTAAAACCCTACAATTGAAACAATTTCAAAACTGCTACACAATATCTGTGTTGTAAATGTAAGTATAATGGCAAACAGAGAGTTATGGGATCTTCTCGAACTTATTAAGAAAGACGATGAGGTTAATGGAATAACAAGACAAAACTATGAACGTTTCAAAGCATCATGAGACTTTCGAGGTAGTTTGATTTTTAATATAAGGAGCTCTGTTGATGGGTACGACTTTCTACAAAGTTAAAGAGCTGTCACAAGTCCTGGGAACAAAGAAGAAATCTGAGCAAACAAGAAAACTCTGCGTAGGAACTTTTAAAACTTTTGTTTTGGCTGAAAGTAGTGAGACGAATGTTGAGGCATGAGCTGCCTTACACTTGAATGGAATAGTGAATGTCAGGCCACTGAGCACGCCGTAAAATTTTGTGCCGATCTGCGAGAGAACTCAAGGCAGCATGAGCCCAGCAGGATCCTGAGAAACAAACGAAGAGATTAGAGACATGTTGAAAACTATATCAGGGTATCCAAAGTGATGATAGCTCAGATGATACGTGTTCCATGTCCAAGGGCTGGCGCACATGATATTCAAGTTGCAATTATAAAGAATTACACTTGTATGTGAAACCTACAGTCCTTTGCAACTCACAGCGTGACCATCGGCCAAAAAGGTCACCAAACTTGTGTTATTGCGATCCGAGAGACGAGGCTAGAATTGAGAACCCAAAAAAATCAACAAGCTCAAAGACAATACCGCAATAGACAGGAATGTGCTGATTCAAGTCCTTGGTTACGTAGCTCGTTCCTGCATCACATACAGCATCGGGGATCATCAATCAAAATCCCAAGATTGGGGATAAATCATGACATAAAAAGATCAATTCGCATAAGCTAAAAGACGGAGAACAGTGTATGGGCATACCATTTACGTTTCTCCAATCGAAATATTCAGGTAACGAGGTCATATCCAGATACTCGTGTGGCCGCTTTGAGAATACCAATTCCTTCGCTGTAAGAGCAGATCACACAACGTTATTGGATGCATCACGTGGACTCATCTCAAGTAAGAACCCAACCTCTTTGTTACGACTACGTCAGTAAGTTGTACAGTCTGCGGTCCACAGCGTTTATCAGCATGTCCAGTGTACAGAGTAAGCGTCGAGAATTTTGACGGACATGAAGCTCTTAACGGGACATCCATCGATTGAATATGAAGTGGATACTAGACTCTGTCATATCCATACGATGAATGGGCGTGTCATATTCACGAAATCATACACTTCTCTACACCTATTATCTTCCCAGAAGCCACCTTTCCCGTTCATGACATGGGCTGATGGCCTGACGTCGGTAATGACGAAACTTATTCAGTTAAAAAATGGAGAACTCGTGCATGATCTAACGGTTGTTGTAGGCCACGTTTCGAGCAATTCACGAAGATTGTGTGTGTACTATTGTACAAACTATCATCTCTGTGACCCAAACCAACTCGCCAGACCAGGAGCAATGGGGCCTGTTGCATAAGGCTCATGAAACGGCCGTTTCACTCAATCAGTTATCCCCTTCAGTTTGCAAAGTGGCACAAGCCGCTCACTGAATCTCACGCCACATATCTTCAAAGCAAACTCGAATCCAGCAAGATTGACGGACGAACTCACAGTTTGATTCCCTGTATTCATTGGGCCAGCCGGGAGTCAAAGAGGCCGGGCGGGCAGGCACATCCAGGATGGAGAACGGAGTCCTCGAAATATAACCCAAGCTCCCGAGTGGGGTGAAACTGACACCGAGATTAGACTTCAGCGCCGACTCGATTACGGGGCTCTTCGCGATGAAAACGAACACCATGAACACTACGGTGGCGGCGATCGACGATTTCCACAAGCTCCCGGCCATTTTCGCTCGTTGGCGCTCAGCCTGCAATCCGACCCTCTCCTCACCCGCAGGTAGCTAGAGTTTCGCGAGCTCCTCCGCTCCCTGTCTTCCAAGCTCCGGGATGTATCCTGAATGAGGAGCACAGCAGAGCCGGCCTGAGGACTCTCCACACAAGAACGAAGTGTTGAGATCAATGCACGGCAGGAACAGTTATCGCTTAGTGCGGGTAATCACTCCGCAAAATTCGGCGACGAATCACACTCCAAACCGCAAATAGATTCAAAAGCCCGGCAGGAAATTCACCGCGAGGCGAAAACTCTGCCGCCTTCACCACACTTCCTCTCGCTTCTTATTGAGAGAAGCAGGAGAGGGAGGAAATTGCCCGAGAAGGTGAAAAGTGCACGCTCCTCCAAAGAGCCAGACAATGGCGGAGTCTAAAGCTCAGGAATCGATGGTGGCCCAAATCGCCGACATCGGTGGGCCCTCTGCTTCCGCTTTTCCTCCGAAGGTGGAGATTCCTCTACGCCCCGAACTCTCTCCCGTTGCCTTCGACTGTAGAACTGCGAGCGCGAGGCTTCCGCAGCTTCAATCTCTCTCTCTCCCTCCCTCTGAGCACCACAAGACGACAAGACTCCCAGAGCAAGCCCGAGCGGGGACGGACGCCATTGGACAGCACCAGAGCGGCACCGGGCGTTCTTGGACGCTCCTACGTCCTGGCGCGGGCGGCGGGCCCCGCGGCCAGGCTCCTCCTCCACTTGCGAGCTTCCCATCCCCTTGCCATATCTGGAAGAGCTACCGTTGATCGCCCACAGCCCCACTTGCCGTAAATGTTTTCGCCTTCCACATGCCTCGGGAGTTGAACTGCAAAGCAGAAGAGTTTTGCATGTTTACTGGGGCTGAGCCTTTCCTTGGGGACCGGTTACCGGGTGCTGCAGGAGAACAGAGATCAGGCGCCTGCAACGTGGCCTTAAGCTGGACGTTCTTTCGAGAAAGTGTCCGCCTTCTGTACGGCTCGAGAATAATTATACCATCGCTCGAGAATTATTTCCAAACGCATTCCAAATGGAGGGGTTTTTGCCATACAGTACTCTCGTTTAGCATAGCCTCGGCATCCGTTGCTCGCACCAATATTTTTATTTTATTTTTTTCAGACACTCTAAACTTCAGGACCACGATAATCATATGATATATATTGGCAGCTAAAATTTTTGATACTTTCTATCAATCATTTCCCATCAATCTTGCTGGAAATATTAACTCGGCAGTAAATGACGAAGGGGGCAACCCTTTGGTTCCAGCTGCCCAACTAGAGATAATTCTTTACCGGTTCTCCTAAGAAATAGTTTTGTGACCTCCCAAATTCTTGACATCTAATCTTCCAAGTCGCCACACTTGAATAATTATCCGCTTTGGCATAAATAGCGATAACTGAATTGGAATGAAACTTCTGCAGGTTTTTCTAACCCATATGTAGTAATTATATATTCTGTGATAATCTCATGTGAAGCTTGAATTATTGAGTATTCTTGTGTTATAATATATATTTGTACTACGTGCTATACAGATCTGCAAGTGATGAAATGTCTCATACCTCTCAACTGAGCATCTTTCTACAAGTGGTGAGAATCATTTTTGCTTACTTGCAATTACCCTGTAACACAAATCCAAAGTTAACAACGTGCACTCATCCTATTTCCTTGTTTCATAGTGCCAAAAACTACTATGGTACTTCTTGGCTTCAACAATGGTAAATGTGCCCAGCTCTTCTTCTCTTCATGTTGCTTACAACTACCTTCAAAATTCGCTTTCTTTCATCCACGTGCTGGCTTCCAAATTGACGTTCTTCTACCGTATCTTCCACCTTGTGTGGATTTATCTGTCCATGTTAGTGAAGCTTTACTGTTTTGATAGGATGCACTACTCCTAAGATCATTGGACCCTTTGATATCCTTCATTTTTTAATTCAACCTCCGACAACAGTCTCTCAAATATATTCCTTCTGTTGTAGCTTCAGTTGTTCATGATATGACTCGGATAAACTCGGGAAGCAGTTCTCCTCCCAAATGAAGTCTGGCGACACCAATTTTCTCAATGCTTCCATATAAACTCTAGCAAATTCTCCATCTCTTTATTTACATTTGTAGAAGTTTACTTTGTTCCAAGTAACTTCCTTGTTTTCGACTCAACATGCTTCCCATTCGCTGTATCATGTGCTTGATAATTTTAGCTCTAAACGCATATCATATGTTCTCCTCATCAAGCACTCAACATCATTGTTTTTCACATGAATCTTAGAAGCTAGACCACTATAAACTGTTAGTCTATATTTGTGACCGATGCACGTTGCTTCTGAAGGATACATCAACGTCGCTGGCTTAGGGAGAACATGATATACACCTTCTACCTGAATAAAGATGTGTAACCCTTCAGCTAAGTATAGCCAATCGTTCCATTCGATTTGGACATATGAGCACTCCTATGATAAAAGTCGAAAATATTTCTCATTAAATATACGCCTTGGATAATCAGCGTTTGTGCCTCCCAAGTTTCTAAACTGTTAGACCATGAGGAATGAATTTGGAAACTTCCTCAAATTCATCAATTTTGCTCGATTTATAGGAGACTTTCAATTTTTGCTTGATTTCTTTTCGACATTTTCAATGAGAACTCGTTGTAACCTTCAAGAATACCTGACACCCTATTCACATTATTGGTGTAAATGAAAGCCGCCTTTGATTTTCTTTTGGCCAACATACGATTTCAATCAATACCAAGTATCTCTTCATTTGTTTAGTAGATCAGACTAAAGCAAAACCATTGTTCGTCATTCTGTCTTAAAGAGTTTCTACATCTATATGCGCATAACGTGGAATCCCAGTGCTGCATGATTCCAGATGTATTCTAATTTAACTAAAAAACATTCTTTCTCATGGTGAATGCCATGATGGAAAATCTATGCAATGTCAACTACCATGCTAATCAGGAAGCGGCTAGTTATACCTCACTTAATGCTAATTAGCTCTCACTCTGATCTAGATTATTCTTTGATTGGTAAATGCAGGGTTATAATTTCTCGGATGAGTAGCAATCAGGGTAGGATGTAAGGTGTTCGACTAATCAGAGAATCGCTTATACTAAGATGAGGGCTAATTAGCCCTTAGTGAATGATAACTAGCACTCTCCGTTGATTATGCGACCACCCACAGTTCAACGTGCTCTATCTTTACGGCACCATCTACTCTTGTGACAATTTACTCTCTAAGAATTTTATCTTCTACATCTTTTTTTAGAAATTTTCTAACGTTTACTTTGGTGTGTGTAATTATATTCTTGTTTAATCCTACCATAGTTCTAGAAAGTATTTCTTCCTCCTTGCCATCTTATGTATTTTTTCTCCTATCTAATATTGGCATCGATAACATTGATTATTAATAATGTAACATCCAATATTGAGGCCACCAGCTCTTTTTAGTGTGTTAGACATTTCTAACCATCATCTACATATTGTTTCTTCTTATTTCTCCCCTTTCATTTGTACTTTTTGTTTACATTCAAACCATCATATAAAACTAGTTCGTCATTTTGGATTCCTTTCATTTTGTTAAGTGACTTCTTTTGTTCTGCAACGAGCTTTGTTGGTAGTTGATTCACTATCTTTTACCTTAGCTGAAATCCCCTTACTAGTTCAAAATTTTATGCATCAACTTTTGACAATAATATGCAAAGCTCATGTAATATATTTCAGGAGACACAAAATATATCCTTTCCTCGGTGAAATTGGTTCGTATGGCTTTCCTAGTTCTCGTCAATTCTTCTCCTTGTCACTCTCTTGTCTTGACCACTTTTACATGTTAAAATTCTACCTCCATATGTGCCCTTCTTTTGCATCAATGATTTGGATGTGCTAAATGAATAGTGTCACTTTTACATATAGTCTCTAAACATGACTTAGAGTAAAAATGATCCTTTCTCCTCCTACTTATTTTTTCGATAGTCTAAAGTATGTTCTATGTGGTGAGTGACTAGCCTTGACACAAGGCTAGTCATTCATGTTTGTCTCCATGCCCTTCCGGTCTCTCATAATGTACCTGCTCTCTACATGATATTTTGATCAACATTGTAGGAAGATGCCATCTTTCCTTAGTTTACTTAGTTTTTTTACTAAGGAAAGATGGCCTTACTAAAATACATATTTGGCACATACTTTTTTCTTGATGGGAAGTTCATGAGCCAATAGGAAAACAAATTTTATCCAAATGTCGACGATACCTTTCTCTTTTTTCGCCCCCACTTTATTAGCAATTTCGTTCCAGCAAGTCACTGTAGAAGTCAAAAATTTGCTCGGATCACAATATAACGTTCTCGGTGTCCAAGCAACCATATTTATTTCTCTTTTAAAAAAAATTCACAGTATATCCGCTCTTGATTTAGGCTTTGAATTTTTTTCAAAGCCTAAGCTTTGATAGTTGCAAGCTGACCGAACCAGCAATGGAGTGTTAAAGACAATACCTGATGTAGACTCCTATCAGTCAAAATAGTTGCCTCAGATTATGGGCTACTGTACTTATGTGTGCTTATTGTGTGGCTATGTACAGTTTTATGGATCGATTATTAAGCTCCTTGCTTCAATTCAATTGGCAGATGAAGCTTTGATGCCATCATGGTTTGATGTCGCCTAATTGCCAATTAGCGCTGTAAGAATATGCAATCCTCTTTCTTTTCTCATTATTATATAGCTACTTTGGAGGTGTTACCCAGTGCAGCAAAAGCTGATGTATGTTTGCTCTTTATGAATATCAATGAACTTGTAAGAATGGAACTCATTTATAGACGGTCGTGAAGTGAGTTAGTGAAAGCTAACAAGGATGGATCAAATACAGATCATTGAAAAGACTATAACATGCTCAACTGAAGATAACCATCCGGGGATGTGAAGTTTGATCAACATTTCACAATTTACATCCTGGTATCATTAAGTGAAAACCTTAGAGCAAAGGACGAAGCATATCTATTCATGATGTCCTTCACTTTTGTTTTCTTTGTGTGTGATGGGAAGCTAGTTGTGGTATTTTGAAATATCAAACTGATGAGTTTGAATCACAAGCAAGTGATACAAGCTTATCTTATCAGTTGAACATGGATTACGGGCTTTGTCGTGGACATTCTAGGAGGCCTTTTGATGCTCAAAATTGTCTCAGAGGGTGTTGCAACATAGCCACCTTCTCCTTGATTTGTTGAGCCTGTCAAAGACCATGTATTATTGCCGTTTTATTGTCTTGCTACTTGAAACTTATTGATCTATACAATACTGTTGTCATAGTTGTAGAAAAAGAAGTAAAATTTAACACTTACTTTGAGCTTTGTAATGATTGGTTGATAAGTTTTTGTAGGCTGCATCATATGCTGTAAATTAAGTTTTGTGTCTATAGAGGTATAAACTGAACACATCTCTTCATATCTAGAGACATCCATAGTGAGTTTTGTCTTAGACATAAAGAGTTTCAAAGGTAAGTTGTGACTTTCAATCTTTATCGATCTACTGAATGCTAGATTCAGTTAAACAGAAAGTCAAGAATTATTCCACAGCTCATTTC